CGGTGCATGAGTGACAGAAAGAGAGAGAAAGAGGAGAAAGTACGAGAGAGGCGAAAGAGGACAGAAAGAGTGGAAGCAGTGAGTTAGCGAACGAGAGAGGGAGAGCCGGTTGGAAAAGCAAGGGGTGAGCTTCGACTGCGTCATCCCCGCGGCAACCAGTGTAGAAACATAAACGAGCCCGAGGATCAACCCTCTCGAAGATTTACAGTCACCCGCGTAGGACGTAGTACATACGACTTCCTCGTACCTGCCACCAGGAACTTTCCCGTCGACGCAGCAGCTTTCAAACCCCTGGCTCAAAATTTTCCTCGCCACGATCTGCTCTTGCCACTTTTGGAATTGGTTGGCACCGCTAATACAGCTGAATCGTAGAACGGACCAACGAATAAACTGTCGACTCAACTACACACGTACTTCGTTCTCTCCGCGAAGAGAGAAGAAAAGAGAATTTTAGAGAAGGTATGCTATTGACGGATAGCATTTTTTTTCCTCTCCCCCAAACTCTACCTCGTTTCATTGAAATTTTATTCGACCGGGCATAGTGTTTCACACAGCGAACCATAAATAACCTTTCGTTTCTATTTATTTCTTGCCGTGCTTTTTTTCGGCTCTCGTTATTTTTCCTTCTTTTTTTTTGTTTTCTATTTCATTAATCAACCGGTCTCCGTAACGGCGAAAATACCTTTGGAAAATCTGCGCCGGCAGGTGGTGGTGCATTTGGTCGACGGCAGAATTTTTTTGAAATAATCAAAGGAAACACGGCTCTCGCCTCTGTTTCCGATTTAATCCCGACGGCGACACTGGCACTAATTTCGGTGGGGAAAATTACATCAAACGTTCCGACGCTTGCTTTTTCGAACAGCGGGGGCCGTGTTTGTTCTCATTTATTTTATCAGAATTCAGTGACTCGCGCCAATTAAAGTTTGCTTCGCCAAGAGAGAGAGAGAGAGAAAGAGAAAATTTCAGCAAGCGTTTCTTTCACATTTCAATTCATTTTCCCTCTTCCTTCCGTTCGTTCGATACCCCGTTGTAACTAACGGGGACTCTACTGGTTCCATCCGCAAATAGAAATTCATAATCCAATTTTCGAGGGTCACGGATAGTTTTTTGGGTTATTAATCGTTCGACACAAACATGACGATATTTCCGGCGGGAAAAAAGAGAGAGAGAGAGAGAGAGAGAATGATAAAACGCGCGACGGGTGGCGAGTCTAGCCGGGTGACGATAAATTTACGTCGTTAATTCTCCGGCAAAGCCGAATTGGTCTGCCTTTGTTGCGGCACACTGCCACTGGCAATAAATTCACGATTCCGATATCGGCCCTGCTAAAAGGTTACCGACGAATTAATAACCGATCGGTCTATAGGTACCGGGTCTAGGCTTGCGGCTCGATGAGACTCGTAATTACAGCGCAACACGACCCTTGCTCTCCCTTATTTCCACCGACGATTTACCGCACGTCCGTTCGCCCACGGCTCCGCTCTGATTTTCCACCAATGGAAAAACCGACATTCGTATCCATTTTTACTTGGCTTCTAATTCAGTGCTCTCATTATCTGCGTCCACGAGTAAATCATTTTTCGTATCGTCCTTTTATATCTCAACTTTCTCTTCCTCTCTCGTATTTCGTAGCTTTCCCCGCTGCGAATGATTATTAAGTGTTTCGAGGAATAAACGATAAGGGCGATTTGCACTTGGAATGATTATTAATCGTCTTAACGAGGGTGAGATAAAAGTGATTTCTTTCTTGAAACGCATTTTCTCCACTTCAAGTGATTATTAATTCTCTTAACCCTTTCGCTACGGTAGAGTTCAATCGTGGCTGCGAAATCTTCTACTCTGGTCGCTATGTTTCGAAATTTCTTTCACTAAATTTAGATAGAAAGTTTAGGATTAAATTACGATGAAAGTGGGCTAAAAGGTGCACAGCAAAATGCGCGCTAAAAACACTATTTTTCCAAATTTTCCAAACGCCTACAACATTCAGAGTTAATGAATAAACGACGAATAGACGATAAAACTGGCTTTCTCCGCAATTTAACGAATGGCTAATAGAAGTGATATTTTTTTCACCGAACGCAAAGAATAAAGTTCAACCTACGCCATTCAAGGGAAGCTTCCTTGGCCACGGGTGAAAGCTTCCCAGGGGCAGATTTATCCGCGTGTCCATTGTTGGTCGCATTAATTACCGAAAACCGTGACACCGGGATTAGCCGGTAAATTTATGGCGTCGCTCGTCGCTAGCGATTGTGATCAGAGTTATACATAATGTCACGCTTGTACATGGTAAGATTGATAACGCCTTAACTACGGGATTTCATATTCAAAGACTTGCAACGTGCAAGTTTGCACACGGTGAACCCAGTCTCCGTTTCGAAAACGGACGCTCAAAGCCACCTCTACGAGATCACGTCACTTATGTTTATTAAATAGTACACGGTGTAACTTGCGAGTTGAATGTAGCAATTCGTGTTCGTCTCTAGAAATTTTGATATTTTCGAGCGTGTCTTATTCGACGATTTAACCCTTTGAGAAATTTGAATACGAAACTTTTGCAATTACGAATTTATTTATTCTTAGTTCTTTTGTGAATTTTCTTCGTTTCGATATAAATAAATTTTGAGCAATCAAACTTTTCAACATTTCCAGTGTTTTCTGAACGCTTCAACAATGAAATTTTTGGAAATCAAAAGTTTTATAAACGTTTACGAATGCATTCATCCTTATTTCTTCCGTTAATTTTCTCTGCTTCGATATAAATAAATTTCGAGCCCTTTTGCAAACCCTTTGCACCGAATGTATTCATCCTCATTTCTTCCGTTAATTTTCTTTGCTTCGATATAAATAAATTTCGAGCCCTTTTGCAAACCCTTTGCACTTCGAGTATTTTTTGAACGCTTTAGCAATGAAATTTTTGGAAATCAAAAGTTTTATAAACGTTTACGAATGCATTCATCCTCATTCCTTCCGTTAATTTTCTTTGCTTCGATATAAATAAATTTCGAGCCCTTTTGCAAACCCTTTGCACTTCGAGTATTTTTTGAAGCTTTAGCAATGAAATTTTCAGAAATCAAAAGTTTTATAAACGTTTAACTTCCTTTGTTTCGGTATAAATTAATTTCGAGCACTTTTGCAACGAAACTTTTATCCTATAAATGTTTACAAATTTATCCATTCTCCTTTTTTCCCCTTAATTCGATTAATCTCGGTGTAAATAAGACTTGAATTCTCAATTAAAGTCTCTACAGCTTCGCCGGTGAAGCGCAAAGGGTTCATTCCTTCTACGGAGCTTCGCTGTAAGTAGAACGAGCCAGCCACTAGTCAGACGAGCATCGACGCCCGCTACTTTCACAGTTTCATCCGTCATTTCGCTTATTCCTTTCTCTTCCATCTGCCCTGCAATTTTTCCCGACGTTTCCGTGATTCCCCCAGAATGAAATTAAACGATCAAAGAAATCCAACAATTTATTATTATTATCCAAATGAAAATTCTCCCTTTGCGAAGTAATTACACTCTCTTTTCACGATGCTCTCTCTCTCTCATTGCGGTGTAATAAATTTCCCAACCGTTTCCCTCTTCTAATAACCTCGTAAAATATTTCCGCCGTTTTATTAATAATCAATAAGTAATATTCGAACCGATACGGTCGCCAGATATTGTGTAACATTCTCGCGTCGTTACACCGAAGAGATAGTAGAAAACGTTCGATACTTTCTTTCTCTTCTTTGTTCTTTCGTCTGAAAATTAGGTAGCTCCATAAAGTTCGAGGCGAGCCGAGAAGAAAAACAGATAAAAGTTAAGAAATGGGCGAAGGAAGCAGACCGGTGTATCGGGTGATAACTGGAATCTATCCACCATACGTCATGTACAACGATACCGCAGGCGCCTTTTTCGGATATTGTATCGATCTACTGAACGATATTGCATCGTTCGCCGATTTCGATTATGTCATCAAATTTCTCAATTACCGTGACCCGATCACTGGCCAATGGAATATAATCGACGAATTAACGAGAAATGCGACGGACATCGCCGTAGGACCAATATGGATCACGAGTTACTTATCTAAGGTACATGTTCGTTCTGATTTTGTCGTAAAAAGAAGATCGAACAATTTTTCATATATTTCTACGTTTTAAACTAATCATACCGGGTGGTTTATATCACTGTTGCTTGTGATAAATTTGTCGCGATGTCGTTTTCTTTTAACGTGTCCACTGTCCGGGATTTTGGGCTACTCGTGCGTTACGCGAAGCGATAAAACGCCTAGACTCGTCAGTCTGAACATTGGCCTTTTCATGGTAGACGCTTGGTTCAGTTTTTGGAGGATATTTAGGCACGATCGAGTAATCTAACGAGTTGTTAGATCAACGTGCTAACACGACTTGAGATTTAAAGTATTTGAGAAGTTTCTGGATCGAGGAAAGATGATGTTCCGTCCATAAGTTATTGGACACTTGGCACTTTTGAATATAATGTTTATTGCTATTGTTTTTCAGTAAAATCCCATTTTTTTTTAATATAAATTGGGTCATTAAGGACCCAAGCCAAATTTCACTATTGCACTTCATCGAACAGAACTTTTATTTTTATTGAAAAAACTATGGACAATTTGACTTATAACGTAGTAGAGACTTTGATAAGTATCCCAGAATTTTTTCGGATATTTCTAAAGCCTAGAACTCTAACAAAATTACACCTGGCGTCAGAAAATGTTTCCCTAGGAAGAAATAATTACTAAGTACCAATGTAAGTTTTGTAAGAATAATACAAATTAATTCTCAATCTATACGTACAAAGTGTCCAAAGTGTCCGAGAATCTACTCTCCGCGATTACATTACACATGCAGTACATTCAAATAGTTCCATCATTTCATAAGACAATGATAGATCGGTCGATAAATTGACTGGATGTGCGCGAAGAAGTTGATGAAAACAATTGCACAACGTTCAGGTAGTGGATTTCACGATCCCGTACGGTTCAAGCGGCTTCTCGATAATGATGCTGAGGGAAAAGAGACAGGCACCGTACCTCAGGTTCTTAACGATCCTGGAATTGGAGGTCTGGATAGGTTTGGCGTTCGCTTTCCTCTTGACGATATTTCTATTATATATTCTCGAGAGGTACTCGCCCTTTAGCTATCGGAACAATCGAGAAAAGTATCGGGACGAGCCGGACGATCGATTCTGCTCGCTGAAGGAATGCTTCTGGTTCGCGTTCACCTCGATCACTCCCCAAGGCGGAGGTGATATACCGAAAAATTTATCCGGCAAAATGGTAGCTGCAACCTGGTGGTTGTTCGGCTTCGTAATCGTGGCAGCTTACACCGCTAATCTAGCTGCTTACGAGACCTTGGATCGATTGGAAAGAAACGTGGAATCGTTGGAAGATCTAAGGAGACAATTTCAGATTCAGTACTCGGTCGTTGCTAATTCAACGGCGTACGAATACT